AAATAACATATGCCTCAGCAGTGAGGACTGCTGACTAAGGCAAAGGGATCACAGACTCCAGGAGAATATCGAACGAACGACACGCCTGGTTCCGTCTAACAAATGGATACACAGACCCCAGAAGGTACCAAATGGAAGGTACAGCTGGTAAGGTCTAAAACAGTGAATAGAGACCACTAACAGTATCAAATGAAGGATACATCTTGCAAGGTCAAAACAAAGAATACAGACCGCAGACAGTATCAAATGAAATATACATCTTGCAAGGTCAAAACAGAGAATACAGACAGTAGACAGTATCAAATGAAAGATACATCTTGCAAGGTCAAAACAGTGTGACTCTGAAAATGAGTTACCAGCATACAGTGTAAATTGTCGGTGAAATACCGTTACCTTAAGGCCATGAATTATAAGGCAGCCTGGGATACTCGTAACCATACTAACCGACACTAGAGTACCTGACACCCTACAAGCGTCTATAAATTATGACATTTGTCACCCCTTGGCTTGGTGGGTCGTGGACTGTAGCTAGCAATCAGGGTGCGGGGGTGTCAATCCCGTATAGATCTATACACATAATGTCCGCTCTCCCTGCAGGAGACTCTGGTTACCAACTAGATGACGGAGAAGGCCGTGTCCTGAAGATGCATCCCAAATAGTGGGTAAAGACTTCCAAATAGTGGGTAGTGTGTTTCTAATATAAGTGCTAAACTAGAGGTAGAGACTCTTAACTGAACTGACTAGAGTAAACCTATATGTCTATGTACGTATACATAACATACAACTAATGAATCAAACGACCTTCGGACGGCCATCCGATCCCACCTACCACATCTCAACGAAGAAAAGGAAATAGGGCGGACAAACCTTCCTAAGTCATTCAATCATATTTTATATGCACCTATACAAGTACAGACATACATCTAACTACGATTGAGTGTGGAATAACCGAATCGTGATGTATAACGTACAGTGTGAGCGAATAGTGTGGAAATACGGAATCATACAGTGTGAGCGAATAGTGTGGAAATACGGAATCATATAGTGTGAGCGAATAGTGTGGAAATACAGAATCATATAGTGTGAGCGAATAGTGTGGAATAATCGAACCGTGAAGTATAAATGCACCAAGTATAAGTGTATCACGAAGTGGAATCGACAACTGATGAAGTAGGACGCCTATCAAGTATAAGTGACTACAAGTATAAGCGAAATAGAGGCAATAACAGGTATAAGCGTATCAAGAAGTGAAAGCGTTATCAAGTAGGAGTTTTAAATAAGTAAAGCGGAGCAGCAGGAATAAACAAGTACAAGTATACGTTGTAAAAGAGAATTTGACGAAAATCTTGGAAAACCTTTATACTTAGGAAAATTACATTTGGTATCCTTTGGTAAAACGAGTTTGAAAGCCTTTATAAATTCTTTGAAAACTTTCCATAAACCAGTTTAAAATGTACTTTGACAAAGCAGTATAAGTGAGAGTTTTGAAATAATTGAAAACCTTTTTGAAAACCATTATAGTGTCTACTCGGTAAAATAGTGTACAGTGTGGTAAAATCTTGTGCATGCGGGTTATCAATCACATATGATTGATATGATAACTGGCATGTTTAACTTGTATCCCCCCCTATAAAACATGTAAAAACATTAAAAGGTTCATTCAGGGGCATGAACTCACCTGTAGTGAGTGGTTCTGATGACAAAGTTGGATTTGATGCTAAGTGTCAAGTGGTGACTTGAGTACACACGCGAAGCCTATTTAGCATATATTGGCACATGTATGGATATAATTAGTGTTATGAACAACTAATTGATGATTTTGGGACCATCATAGGGACTAGTAAACACTTATAATGAAGTGTTATAATCATATATGATTGTATGAGGGTTTATAAGGCTATACAAGAGGGTGTATGGCCAAAATACACACTATATGTGTGTGTGCGGCCAAGTGTGCGGCCTAGTGTGCTGCCAGCACTTGTGTGCGGCCATGTGTGCGGCCAGATGGTGTTCTTGGTGTTCTTGGTACCTTTTTATGAAGATCTTCAAGGAGAATGGATGATACTTGAGAGGATCTCGTGTTCTATGCTTGAAGAAATGAAGGAAGTGTTCAAAAAAATGATTTAAGTGTGGCATATATAGGTGGAGTGTGCGGTTGGGAAAGGTGTGGGGCCGCAAACAAGAGTGTGTGTGGCCGCACACTCAAGTGTGTGGCCGCACACTCCATGCGTTGGAGTGTTTAGCCCGGTTTTGATTCCTACGCTTCGAGTTAACCCTTTTTAACACTCATACCTTGATTATATCACATTTAGAATGCTTCATTAGACTCTAAAGGGTACTACTATATAGAAAAATAAGTCTAATATTGGAAAGAATTGAAGAGTGCATGCGAGAAGTTTTTCGGGTTGCCTCATTTAGGTTTATTTAGCTTACGATAGCTAAAATTTTGGTATTGGAATTAGATTTAGGATATTGATATTCAGATTACCACTTTTGGGGGTGTACTTAACTAAAATACATATAGAAAATATTAGATCTTATATTGATTACTGTCACCCTTAAAATTCTCAAAATTGAGGGGTGTTGTTTTATATTTTCTCTGAAAATTTGAGCTTTTTTATATATAGAATAGGGATATTGACTACATTGAGTGTGTTCGTTCAAAAACCCTCATTAAATACTAGAGTACTTAATAGGTCAACCCCTACTCAAAACAGCCAAGAACCCCCCATTAAATACTAGAGTACTTAACTAGAGTACTCAATAGTTCAATCCTAACAACAATTAAATGGCTTTTAATGATGTACTATTGATTAAATTTATTGAAAACTTTTTCCAAACACATAGTCCAATCTCTATAATCATTACACCCAATTTTAATCCATGGACTAAATGAATAAACCCCATTTTCATCCATTCAATGGCAATACTCGTTCTATTAACCATTTGCAATATTATAAGGTATTAGAATTCATATCCTAATACAATTGATTCACCAAGTTTTCCATTAATTTCGATAAGAATAGATCAAATAAGTGATTTTCCATTGATGAAGTACAAAAACTTGAACTAAACTATAAAGTTTTTTTGAAGAGATGTACCTTAGTTGATTCTTTGGATGAAGTTAATGAAGATACTTAAAATTGGATTACTTCTTTTGGTTCAAATATAACATTTTCCTTATAAATCCAAAACTTTACTATCCTATTCTTCTCCAAATACATTTGATGAAATGAAATGGGAAAAATCCAAAGGGTTTAAGGCTTTTAATGTTTCCCGATTGTTCGTCACTAGTTCTTCAAGTTAGGTCTTGGCCTCATATTATTATTACCCAAGCTTGACCTAACTATACATTGGGGTCTCTAATATACCTTTTTAATAATAATGTCTCATAATTATGATGTAAAGGTCCACAACAAGGAAGATAGTAACCAGTAAAAACCACACATCTTAAATTTCAACCATACATCTTAAATTTCATTTACTCGAATAATTCTAGCTCCATAATTGTCATATGGTTTATACTTGGTCATTTAGTAGGAGCCTAACCATTATAAACAAAACCTTTAGGTAGGCGAGTACTCAATTGGACCCAACATCTAATATTGAAATATGTTGAAATGCTAATAATAACAATGCACATTAAATACATTTATATTTGAATCTTAGTTTTGGAAAGTTTACATCATACTTAGAGATTCACCATATATTTTAAATTATTTATATTTAAATCTTATTTTTGTAAAGTACATCATAGTTAGATATTCATCATATATTTTCAATTATTAAGACTCTAGTTACATTGTTTAGAGTTCCAAAAAATGTTCTTTTTCACTTCATCATCACATTTAAAAGATCAGAACATTTAGCCCCAAAAACAGTCTATCAATCTTCTTAGCACGTAGATTATCCCTACATTCTACCTTATTTTTATGTAAATTACATGTTCTTTCTTGTTGTTTTTGTATCACTTGGGTTATGGTGACTTGGTAAGACATGCAAAAAAATATGATGGATAGGGGCGGTTTTGCTTGGTGTCCCGTTATGGCACCGACACCACTTACTTTTTCTATACAAGTGAAAAAAATTTCGATTTTTTTGGTTTTTTACCTATTTTTCCTGCACCAGCAATACTTTCTTCAAACTCGACAACACCTATTATGTATTCATTTATCTTCCCCTGATGATGAATAACATATTGACTCATGTTTAAATTATGACACTACTCAACTCTTGTGACCATGGAAGTTCACATGCAGTGACTCCATGAGACATTACCTCATGTTCGCAGTGAAAGATTGATCGGTGTGCGAAAACCGACCTGGAAATCCTCATTAGAGAAGCCTCATTTTCCAAAAAAATATATACTTCATTTTCTTATCTATTCATTTAATTACCTTACCTTTTTTTAACTCTATGTTATGGTATAAAGTCTAAACAAATCATAAATCTTTTTTCTTAAAGTTTGACTTAAAAGAATAAAGTCCAAATATAAAACCTTTTAAAACAAATGAAGTCCACCACACCAACCATTTGGCTTTAAATATACTTAGCAATAATGCCGACCTAATTCATAAAGTTGCATTAACATAACATACCCTCCAAATAAGATTTTGTAAGCAATGAATGAAAGAACCGAATCTCGTGCGGCTACATAGTCCCCCTCCATCACCAATCACCATCATCACTCCACAAGCCAGACAGGCACCGGAGAAGATAATGAGGAGAAAATTGAAGCTATACAGATAACATCATACCTCATTTTCTTTCTCTCCTATGTTAATTTGTACTATTATCTAACCTTTCTTCTTTACAAGATCCATTTTAGGTATCAAATTCGATTTCATTTCCCTAAATTACAGTGCTTAAGGCTTATAGATTCTCCCCAATCAATGTATTTTTCTGGGTTAGGGTTCTACGTTTTTTAGAGCGGCTTATACCCATTTCATTTTGTTAAATTCTTTATTTTTGCAACTTTGTAACCTTAAAGTACAGAAAAAATGGCGACTAGAGGTAGCAGATCGGAGAAGGTAAAGAGGATCTTCCAGCAATTCGATTTGAACAGAGATGGTGGTCTTAACAGAGAAGAAATGTCTGCCCTTGTTGTTGCTGTTAACCCTAGAGTTAGATTTAGCGATGAGCAAATTAGTGCCATCCTCGACGAGGTTTTCCGTACGTACAGCGATTTCATCGACACTGATAAAGGGCTTACTTACGACGGCCTGTTACGAACCTATGACGACGGCGCCGGGGACGTCGACCGTGATTTTGAAGCATTAGCGCTTGAACTGAAGTCCGACGATGATAACGATAACAGCAATAACAACAATGAACCTGCATCTTCAATGGCGTTCGAAGAAGCTTCGACATCGTTGGTTGTCGATGAGAGAGTAAAGTCACCGGAACCGCAGAAGCAACATCGAACGGCAACATGGGCAGCGTCGCCAAACCACGGGATTATCTTCGACGACACATGGAAACTCGTCGACGATTTAGAGATTCTGATAAAGCGGTTAAAGGCGAAGCAAATGAAAGATTTAAAAACCAAAGGCGAACATTCCGATGCCTTTTCCGATCCAGGGTGGTCTAGAGAGCTTGGTCCATCAATGGAGATGAACAAACATATCATTTGGGACGAAACCAGACACGATTACACCATTTTCGTCAAAGAATTAGGGGTTTTAAGATCTAGAGCAGACGGGTCAAGATCAAGAGAAGAAGCATTCGATGGACATATGGCAATCGGTCGTCTTCTCTACGATCAACATTTATTCAAAGAAGCCCTGGTATGTTTCAAAAGAGCCTGCGAACTACAACCCACCGACGTCAGACCCCATTTCCGGGCCGGAAACTGTTATTACGTTCTCGATCAACACACCGAGTCAAAAGAAGAGTTCATATTAGCGTTAGATGCAGCCGAAGCAGGAGGTAATCAATGGTCTTATCTTCTCCCCCAAATTCACGTCAATCTTGGAATCGCTCTTGAAGGTGAAGGTATGGTTATCAGTGCTTGCGAGCATTACAGAGAAGCCGCCATTCTTTGCCCTACTCATTTTCGAGCTTTGAAGCTTCTGGGTAGTGCTCTGTTCGGTGCCGGAGAATATAAAGCCGCCGTGAAAGCCTTAGAGGAGGCGATTTATCTAAAAAACGATTATCCCGATGCACATTGTGACCTTGCTTCAGCTCTTCACGCAATGGGTAATGATGATAATGCTGTTAAAGAGTTTCAGAAAGCCATCGATTTGAAACCTGGACACGTGGATGCTTTGTATAACTTGGGTGGTCTTTATATGGACATGGGTCGATATCAAAGAGCTTCAGAGGTTTACACTCGGGTTTTAGGGTTATGGCCTAACCATTGGCGAGCTCAGGTGAACAAAGCGGTGTCTTTATTAGGCGCCGGTGAAACTGAAGAAGCTAAAAAGTCGTTAAAAGAGGCTTTGAAGATGACTAGTAGAGTTGAGTTACATGATGCCCTTTCTCACTTGAAGCAACTTCAAAAGAAGAAAGGAAACGGAAACCGGAATGGAATCGGTGTGGATGCGTTTACCATCATCGAACCATCGAAATTCAAAACTTTAGGTGAAAAAACGACATTAAGGCAAGAATTAGCAAGGGCTCTTGAAATTCGGTCTTTTCAGAGGGTTACACGGCTATTCCGGTGTGATGTTGAGCTTTTAAAGAAGGAAATGAACGATTCCAAGACCCCGTTAACGTATTCCGGTTACGGTGTTCCGGAGAAGTCTATACGAAAAGCGGCATTGGAATCCATTCTTCGAAGACTACTTGGTTTCTTGAAACCCGAAACTTTTGTAGGATCCGTCAAGGCGATTAATTTAAAAATCCTTTCCGTTCTTGACGAATCGGAATCCGGAAGGGTCGATTTGGGAATGTTTTTCGCAGTTCTAGCTCCGATTTGCGGTGGTTCGCCGGAAAAACGAAAAAGGGTAGCGTTCGATTCGCTTCTATGGCGTCCGGTGACCGGAATCTCCGATTCCGGACGGATTACAAAAGCCGATGCGACACGTTACATAAAGTTATTGAGATCAATCTACATTCCATCACATAACACGAGCGAAATGACGGAGATTCACGGTGAAACGGATGATTCATTGGTGTCATTAACCGACTTTCTTGCTATGTTTGATGATCCGGAATGTGGTTTTGGTGTAATGTCGATTCTATTGAAGCTGGAAAGTGGCGATCGGAATCGGCATGGGAATACGGTTTGCTCGGTTTGTCGGTACCCGGTAATTGGGGCGCGGTTTAAGGAGATGAAGCTGCGGTTTAGTTTGTGTAGCGGGTGTTACAGTGAAGGGAAAGTGCCTTCGGGTTTGAAGCAAGAAGAGTATTGTTTTAAAGAGTATGGAAGTGGGAGTGAAGCCGTGAAAGATAAGTGTATGTGGTTTAGTTCAAATCATAATCCTAAAAAATGAAATGATTCTTTTGTAATATTTCATTCATGTAGAGCTTTTAGTTGTGGAGTGTGTGATAATGTTTTTGACCCTAATCATGTTGTATGATATTTAACGGTTTATGTGATCGTTTTTTTTATATATGTTGTATCACTACAAATTTTAATAAAAAATATAATACAAGTACAGGGGTGGATTGGGGAATTGAATTTATGCAACCAAAAGGGTTGTACTACCGAACAACAAAGAATTAAATGGTTAGTTGGGATGGTAAAAGGAGGGGATGAACCGGGTTTATTGTTGGACAATAGTGGTTGGCATGATTATACCTTTTACCAAACACTAATTGTTTAAGTTAACACACTTGATTAATAATGCATTTGGCTCCACATCATTATATCTTTATGTTTTGAGTACTTCTAAATTCTCCTAAAAGTTTTTAAAGACGTCCAAAAGCATTAGGCATTAGACTTTTGGAGTTGAGTTATAACTTATAATCCTAAGTGTTAAAATCAAGGTTCGAATAACGCGAGGCTTGGGTTTGGCGGCGAGCTCGAACCCAAATAATAATGTTTTTTAAGGAGAGAGTTATAAAATTATATTAAATATATCAAGTTTTTAGAAATGTTATCATTTTGATATAAAAAACTTGACTAAAACCCAATTGTTATAGGCCTAGTAAAAAAAACTCGCGCCTTGAAAAGACACGCAATAACGCGATAAGACACATCTTGACATGTTATTTGGACATCATGCTTAATAAACCTACATTTGACGTTTTTGTAATGGTTACACCATGCCTCACGCTATGACACATTTTGGCACGCGCCATGACACACCTTTTGTAACCTCCCATACCAATAAAATTTTCATTTTTAAACCATCAAATTCATACAACTATTTGTTCCAAAACTAATGATAGAAAAATGTAGCTTTCAAACATCAGAGTAAAACAATAATAATCAGTGCGGAAAAATCGATTAGAGGATGTTGTGCAGTCAAGTCGGACTCTTCCATTTGGAACTAGAAGTACCTTAAAATATAAAAACAATAAACCGTAAACACAAAGCTTAATGAGTTCCCAAAATACCTCATACTATACATTAGATAAAAATTGCTATGGGTAGAACCATAGTCTTACTGTCACTATCAGCCATGAGCCAAATCATGATCTTTCCTTGCTAGGAGCCAAACCTTGGTCTTACGTACAAGTGTCATGAGTCACATCCTGATCTTCCATGCAAACATCACAAAAACACCTAACATCCTACATATAACTGTCGGGGGCCAAACCCTGGTCTTTCATACATATACCAAGGGCCACACCATGATCTTCTATGAAAGTATCACAAAGACATCTAACATCATACATAATATAGTAAGAAAACTTACATTGTCGATGTAGTCAACAACTAACAGCTCTCATAATCAATGAACGGGTGCTATGCACCTCCTAATAAACCACACAAGGTAAGCCCTTACTGTCACGTCATGATGGTCATATCACCACATCGTGACAAAATTTGTCCAAAACAATCGGTGAGTCTCAGCATCACGTTGTAACCTCCATATGGTCACGTCGTGACTACTACATTTGGGGCAACTTAATGCATTCAACCCTTAATCCTTTAATCCATTCATTCCAACTTTTTAGAGGGCCTTCTCACTCTAAAAAAACTCCAAAAATTGACGTTTTATAGACATGCATGTTTGGAGCTCATGTTAGGTCAAAATGAAACCACAATAACATGTATATCTTCAAAACTTAGTTAAACTTCAGATCTAACATATATAACCCTCAAGGAACCATAAAGTTGCAAACTTTATGGAATCCTTCCATCCAAAATTCCACAACATGAAGAAAAAGTCTAAAAAATTGTTTGAAATAACTTTTATGTTTTATAGAATTGTAGGATACAATATTTTACAATACAAATTATTATGTATGAATAAAAAAATTATTTTATACGAATCAACTTCCTTTAATGAACATCAATTTACAAATAAAGCTCAAATCTCTCTCTCTCTCTCTCTCTCTCTCTCTCTCTCTCTCTCTCTCTCTCTCTCTCTCTCTCTCTCTCTCTCTCTTAGCTATTTTAAAAGCTTTTAACGCTAGAAACAACAATTCCAGCAAGTTGCCGTTACCGCCCCCTTTCCACCGGAAGCAATATCTCTATCAGGTAAGATATCTCCGATAAGGTTCTCATATATAGGGTCATGTTGTATGCCGTCTTTGAGACACAATCTTTCTATCTATGATGAGACATGACTGTTGATATCTACCTCATCTATTTCATCTTAATGAGATTATTGGGGTTTGTTGTTGTTTAAAGCTCGCATTAAAATATCATAATCCGGCAATTAAATCGTTACGTTGCATAAACAACATCTTATTAAATGTATGTATCATGTACACATGAACTCACTTGGCATCGATGACTTCAAATAAATTGTTTTTCTCTAATTCATAATTCTTCGCTGTAATCATATTGCTAAACTTATAACTATGCATCACAATAAATAATTTGTACATGGTATATCAAGAATATCTCAAGTTCTGAAGTTGATACGAAATTCTACTTTTATTGACGACTAAAAGTTAAACTAATGGTCAAACATTTCTAAAGCTCATATAATTAGTGACATTGGAGTTGAACCAATTTGAAAAGTTTTGACCAATATATATGTTATTTTATCTTTTGATTTAATATTAGGCTCTTAGGACCAAATAATTCAATAATAGCAGCAAAACCATAACTTCGATAGTTCGATACAAATTACAAAGTAGTAAAATTTCGAAATAGCTAAAACCCAAAATTTTAAAATTCTTAACATGATTGGACATTTGGACTTAACAGTATACAAACTATTGGATCTTAACTACATATTTGCCCAAAGCCCATAACATTCAAAGAAGCTTTGGACTATTAGAAACACTTAAAGATTGCTTACAAGTTACAATCCAAATTCGAACATGACTGATAGAAGCATCCATGGATAAAGATAAATATTTGTGAAGATGAGTACTTATGTTATATTATGATTTTGATTAGAATGAACTGTTAGTGTATTTCTAAGAAATAGCTTTATATTTTAAAACTCTAATCGTAACAATAGGGTATTTCTGTTGGGTTGAGTTTTCGAATACCTAAAAAGGAATAAAATAAATCTATTTTCTATGTGAGGTTTTTTTTGGAACGTGAATTTTATTTAAAATAGACAAAGACGTTCGAATAAAAACGTAATACAAAGAAGAAATAGCTAAGAATTTGGTTTTGAAGGCAACCAAGCCAATTTAAGTCCCGTTTGTTTATTCTCTGCAGATCTTTTTGGTCTTTTCTATCTGCGCTGGACATACCACGCGTAAACATTAGACTTCGCAAACTGTTTGTTTTTTTGAAGACTGCAGATCTAAAAAGATTTGCACGTCTTCTTTTTGGCACAGATGTGGATCAGAGTTTTCAAACATTTCCAGACATTTTCTAACCTAAAAAAACATATAGCTTTGTTATTATTATTATTATTATTATTATTATTATTATTATTATTATTATTATTATTATTTAAATAATAAATTAAATAAATGGTTTATTAATATGTTATGAAAATAATATATTAATTAGAAATCATATTATTTAATAAATAATTAATCAGAAATTATTTGGAATTAATTTTAAGATTAACTGGATTAATTAAAAGTACAAAGACTGTTTTGTTATTTGTTAATAGTTGAAAAATGAAGACTCTAGAACCCCTTGGGAGAGGTGAACAAAAATCTCTAGGGAATCCCTAGAAGATTTCGTCCAAGGCCCCTTGGACAAGGGGTTTTGGGTTGCTTGGTCACCAAACAAAGGATCTAGGGCATATCCATTTAATCCTAACTTTGACACAAAGTTTCCTCAACTATATAAGGAGTCCCTAGCCTTGTTTTCGGCCCATCCTTCCTTCCAAAAGCCTTGGATACAATTTGTTCCTCCTCTCTCTTATATTATCCTCTTGCTAGCTTGGGTGTGATTCTATTAGAGGCAAAACAATTATGGTGTTTGCTTCCAAGAGATCTTCAAAGATAATTTCTAGTTGTTTTCTATAATAACTAAAAGGCATGAAATCTTAAAACCCTCTCATGTTGATTTTGAAAAATAACATAGGGTTTGTAGGTTTCTTTATGATGTTCTTAGTTATAAGTTCAATAGAGAAATCATAAATCCTATTTAGGTTGCATGTAAACTTAAGGGTTTTATTTTTGTTTGTTTACCTAAATCCCATCAGTATACCGTTTGAAAATCTCACTTTAAACACCTCACTAAATATAGCCTAAAGATTATCCTCATAAGTAGATCAATCATTAATATGATATGGAATCACCGACAAATCTTATTTGTAGGTTCATAATATCGATTATGAATATAAATACAAGTTACACTTAAAGTATAATAAATGCAGCTTAACTTACAGAGTTTCTGATAGAAAGTCCGGAAAGTTCACAAACGGAACGCTGATACAAAAATTCCTTTTCATCGGGTTTCTAATGCCTCAGGGATTCGCCAAATATCCCTAAAATGTAAAGAATTTTGAATTAGGGAGAGAGGTTTCCAGGAGAGAATTTCTGGAAGTGTGAGGGAAGTAATGAGGGATGAGCTTCTATTTATAGCAGATTTTTTACTATACGCACCGCACATATACAAGTGTGGGCTACGTACTCGTGCTACGCTACTACTTCAGGTTGGTGCCATGTGTCACATTGGGGGTGGTCCGTGTCGCCCTTCTAGAAGGCATGCACTCAACGCAACCTACCATGCGTGTGCCGCTTTTTGAAAAACTTCAAAAAACCGTATATTTTTTATACGAACTTCATTTTCGACGTTATTTATATCTATACATAGCTATTGACGAGTAATATAAGTTTCATTTAGACTCTGTCAGCTAATTTTCACTTTATTTTTAAAGTCATTTTTATAGGCTTAGACGGTTAAAGTCCATAAAATAATCATAACTATTTCATATGAATTCGTGTGACACCC